GTGGGGGGGGGAGGGGGGGGGGGGGGGGGGGGGGAATCAAGGAAATTCAGATTTTTAATTTTTGTATTAATAAACCAGAACGCCAGGTATTGTTCTATTGCGAATGCATTTGTTTCCTATAACACTGGCACACAAGAAGACTATTAAGAGTGTTAAGAGGTCCAAATACTTATGGAAAGCTTTTGTATATGTGGGGGACACCCCATACCTCCAAAACATCATATTTTCCCACATACAACGTTCTACTAATCTGTGATATGCTATTTTTTTCTGGTTAAAAAAGCCTCAAAAATAAGACTGAAATTTTAAATTGCGAGGAAGTATTTCGAACACACTACTTCCATGTTTGTGATCCTCCTCAAAGGGGACTAACAGCAGTCTCTATTAATGATTCACAGTTCAAAAAAGGTTTCCTTTTTAATAGACACTTGGTCACGTGAATGGGGCGCATAATATGGTTGCGATATTATGATGAAGGGGGTGGATGGCATGCGAACCCCGGTCTGCTGCTGTGCTGATAGCGCTAGCCTACTTCACTAAAGTGGGGTTGGGTCATTGTGGACTTGCTGAAAAGCCGGAGAGATATGGATTGAAAAAATTTAAAAGAACGAAAGACGCTGGTACGTTTTGCGGATAATATTATACAGCTGTCATGAACGGATATGTTTTTCTACACAGAAAAAGACAGAAAGCCCTGCACACCATGAGGATGGATTTTATTTTGAGGTATTTCCGCTGATTGTTCACTACTATAGTGAGTTTTTCGGCTCAAAGAGAAGGTCAGTTACCATAGAATGGCGGATGAACACACGGGAGAGTCGAATTTAAAATCATTAAAATAAACTTAACTTGGAGCATATTCGTCAGTCAATTTTTATTCTTCACTTAACAGCACTGAAACAACCATTAAACACGTAAATAAAAAAATAATTGTTACATCCATTTACATAAATGCTACATTGCTTTAAGCAACACTTTGCAAATCTAATATTGTTTTACAAAATTACAGAAATTTAGACTTTTATAG